GGAGTCGTGGAGTAGTACTTGCAAGGGAGAAAACGCGCATACTTACTCAATCGGTCCACGACTGTGAGGATGCCGTCGTGTCCGAGGCGGTCGCGGGGGAATGGTCCGGTGACATCCATGGCAATGGAGAGACCGGGTTCCTGCGGGATCGACATCTGGCGCAGCTCGCCGTAGGGATTGCGGTTGCGAGGTTTGCTTCGTCGGCAAACTTCGCAAGAGTCGCAATACCTCGTGACGTCGGTGATGAGGTCGGGCCATCGGAATCGCTGTCGAAGCCGTGCAATAGTGCGGTTGACTCCAAAATGGCCGGCGAGTCGCAAATCATGATACTCGCCGAGGAGGCGAGTCCAAAGACGGCGGCCGCGTGGGACACATAGTAAGTCCTTGCCCCGCGAGTGGAGGAGCAAGTACCCATCGACGATGCGATAGTGGCTGGCCGGTGGGTGATCCGAAGATAGTTGCGCATATAGCGTGGTGAAGTCTGGATCGGACTCATAGCCCCTGATGAAGTGTCGCTGAAGCTCCTCGTCGAATGCGAAGGCATGATGTGTCATAGCGCAAAGATCAGGTCTTCGCGAGAGTGCATCTGCTGCACGATTGGAGAGGCCGGGAAGATGTTTCGGTGTGAAGTCAAATTGGTCGATGAAGTACATCCATCGTCCGATCGTGCTGCTCACCGTATCCTGCGTCTTGTAATAAGTCAGTGGGTTGTTGTCCGTAACCCATGTGAACCTACGACGCCCAAGGAGGAAGTGTTGCCATCGCTTGAGAGACATGACGAATGCGAGCAGCTCCTTCTTCCTTGCATCATCAAGCGAGTTGATGGGAGACACTTTGTGGCCGAAATACTCCACAGGGTGCCAGTCGTCGCCGTCATGCTATTCCAAGACTGCCCCAATGCCATAGCCGGAAGCGTCCGTAGTCACTCTCGTCGGCAGGGTGGGGTCATAGATACTAAGGACGGGTGCCATGAGCATGGCCGTCTTATGTGCTTGGAATGACGGGCGTGCGTCGTCATCGAATACGAATGGCACCTTTGACGAKTGTAATCTCGTCATAGGTGCAGCAATCCTTGAGTATCCAGTGATGAATCGTTGATAGTAGCCCGCCAACCCCATGAATGAACAAACGTCCGTGGTGTTGGTGGGCTAGAGCCATACACGGAGGGCCTCGATCTTGTCCGCAAGCGGACGGATGCCTTGCGGCGTCACATAATGTCCCAAGTACTCCAGCTCCTGCCGCGCGAATTCGCATTTGTCGCAGTTGGCTTTGTACTTGGCTTGTCGTAGCCGCTCCAAAACAGTGCGCAGGTGTTCCACATGCTCATCCAAACTCCGGCTGTACACCAGGATGTCGTCGAGGTAGATAAGTACGAATCAGCATGTGTCGAAACTCCGTTGTCATAGCCGCTTGGAAAGTGGTCGGGGCATTCGTAAGGCCAAATGACATAACCAGCCATTCGAAATGCCCATATCGTGTCTTAAATGCGGTCTTGTAGCGATCCTCCTTTCGAATCTCGAGTTGGTGATATCCCGACTTGAGGTCCAGCTTGGACAAGAACTTGGCGCCGCCCAGTCGTTCGAGAAGGTCGTCGATGCGTGGGAGAGGGCCAGCGTTTCTGATCGTCTGCGCGTTGAGCTTGCGATAATCGATGCACAACCGCAGGTCCTTGTTCTTCTTCCGGACGAAGAGAACAGGAGCACCATATGGTGATGAGCTAGGCCGTATCCAGCCTTTCTCTAGAAGGTGGTCGAGTTGTGCCCGTAGCACACTTAACTCTTCCTCGCTCATTCGGTAGATGCAACCGCGCGGAGGTACGGCCCCGTCCTCGAGGATGATCTTGTGGTGGATGGGCCGATCCGGTACTACTTCGTGCGGGCCTTCGAACACGTCGTAGGCATCGAGAAGCTCGGTGATGCGTGGATCCGAAGATGAGTCCATTGGTGAAGCGTCATGGGGCGGGAGGGCGTGAAGAAAACACCCCCCCATCTCCTCGATGTCGTCTCTGATAATGGAAACTCGCATGCTTGCGGCGGATACCACGTGACAACTGACTAAAGGGTGAGGAGGAGCTACCGTGCATGGGACTAGTACTCCATTCCAAACACGAACGTGAATGGTGCGGCGGTAGAACTTCACCGGGTGATCCTCGCTTCGCAGCCATGACATGCCCAAGACCATGTCGAATTTCGTGTCCAGAATGTCAAAGGACACCGCCTCACTTGCGTGAGGGGCAAAGTACACTGGGACGTCATAAATGCACTGGTCGATTGACTTGTGCGTGTGACCGTCCGCCAACGTGACTTGCGTGGGCATGGACTTCCTTCGGACTCGTGGGCCAAGGCCGGCGCGTACCATGAAGTCCTGACTCATGTAGTTGCGAGATGCTCCGCAATCGATCAAAGCGTTGCAGGTCGCCTCTCCGATTTGAATGCGTACATATAGCAATGGTGCGTCGATGTCGTCGTACCGTTGCGTCTTGAACTCGCGGTCGATCTTCGCAATGTAGGCGTGAAGGTCGACAACCTCTACTCCGGCGTCCATCAACGGAGTTGGTACTGCACTGTGCAAGTAATCCTGCAATTGTGCCTTGAGCACGTTGCAATGCGGTTTCGGCAATCGACCGCACCGGGGAAGGGGCATCCATTGGAAGTCCACAAATGTCAACGGGTCGAGCTCTTCCAGTCTTGACCATGACGTTGAATCCCCGACGGTAGATGGCGGCGAAGCTGCTGAATCGGTTGTCGATGGTGATGAAACCGTGCATGCGGTAGATTGTTGCACGTGGAGCGGTTGGTCCAGCGGTGAGACCAAGTGGACAGCATAATCCTCGTAAGTGTACCGAGGACTTGCGACATGCACATCCCCCCCAGATATGTAGGAGGCCGCTAGCAAGGCGGCCGAATCTAGCGGAGTGAGAGGTGGAGTCGCCTTACCTCCTGCGCGACTCCGTTTCCCGAGTTAATACGAGGCCGCACATCCTCCTTGGCCTGATCCTGGCAAAGGGAGGTCTTGTGCTTGGTGCTATTGCACCAGTAACAGCAGCCGTAACGGTCGCGGTACTTGTACTCGGCCTCGGTCAAGTTGAACTTGATGGGCTCCGAAAAAACGGTCTGACTACCGAGATGGTGAGAATTCACCTGAGCACATCAAGCAGGAAAGGGGAAACTAAGCCGCCTGGGTGCGTACTAAGTGAATATGTTCTGGGCGTTAAGCAAGCATTCGAAGGCCTTGTCCTTGCCCCATTGGACCGCAACCCAAGCGAAACTTGGATTGAATGTCCAAAACGGTATAAACAAGGTCTTCAAAAAATGTTTTTGAGCAATAATAACTACGAGAGGGTAAATAATGATAAGGGGACGGTCCTGCTTGACATGAAGACGCGATATGTCGACGCTGGCTTGTCTGACATCGCCAACTGGGACAGGTTCGGCAAGCTGTAATATGCCTATATAATGGCGAAAGAGAAGGACAAGGAGAGGAGGAGACCTATTGTACCTTCGTTCCAAAGCCCTTTTTGATCAGCCTCTGGTATGCTTTCTGTTGCTCTCAATGAATTAATCAGGAGAGTTAAAAACCCGCATTTTAACCTACGGGCAATCATTGATCTGCGTTTTGAAATTGAGAAGGTCAACAAGAAAGGCGAAAACCCCTCTCTCGGTCTGGTTGCCCGAACGTACGACATTAAGGATATGTTTACACAACTGCCGCATGCCGTAATTTACCAGGCAGTCGAATGGCTGATACAACATTTTTCAGACCAGGGCATTCGTTGGATTCGGATCAACAGCAGGACGCGTTGTGCCACATTTGGGAAATCCCATGGTGAACCAGGGTGGAAATCAATACGTCTGAGCAAACTGTTAATATTGACCCGATTTCAGCTCGACAACTCTGTGTTCTTGGTATCCGATGTGGTCCTCTCACAAAAACAAGGGATCCCAATGGGTGGCCGGGCCAGCCCGCCCCTTGCATGCGCAATGTGTATGTTCTCTGAGTATAAATTCTTGAGCTCCCTTGGGGCTGATAGTCAATTAATTTATGGGAAGCGCTACATCGACGATCTACTAATCTTGTCGTTTTTTCAAAAGAGGGACCCAGAGGGGCTGGCTAAGGCCAACGCTCGGCTGGACCAGATCTTGAGGTGCTATCCGGAAGAACTGACGTTGGAACGAACAGATTCCAGGTCTGGGATCTTGGATTTCTTGGAAACCAGACTAATCGTTTATGAAACTATGGCGCGCATATTATCCGCTCACAAATTCAAGAATGTTGGGACTATATGGTCCCCATACCCATTGAAGTACCATATGTACACAGATTTTGACTCGTTTGGGCCTAGAAGGGCAAAATTCGTCGTGGTCGCCAACACCATCCTTCGGATTTCTCGGAACTGTAATGATGAGGGTACGATCTGTATGGGTGTCCTCACTCTTGCCGCAGAATTATGGAAATTAAATTACCCCCGGACGGTGGTTTCCAAGGGACTCGAATGAATGAGAAGGAGGGATGGTTCCCTATTTTGGGAGCAGCCGGCGGATATAGTGGTAAACACGTTTTAAAATTTGTGCAGTCGATCTGTGACATCTCGACAGTGTATACGGCGGTCGGGTTACTGGGTCACTTGTCTTGTAACTGGGCGGACGAACATGTCTGCAGGGCTTTGGAAAATAGCAGCAGGCTATCATCGACAGACGATCCTCATATATCACCTGACGGCCAATATCGTAACGGCGGCCAAGGAAATCCACACAGGAGGTACCCAGGTACGACGTCGTAGCAGTAGGACGCTGTGCGTATGGTGTCGTTTCTTGCTGCTTCCCGCTTTTCAAATCCGCGGGTGTTAATTTATTCATGTACCTATGTGTTCGCACGACTGTCCGCCGCGCAATCGGCATGAGTCTCGGCTCTAGTAGAAAAGCTGTGAAAAACCAGTATAGGGGCTAGGAGCGAGGCCCGATCCATGCAGTGGGGCTAGGATCTGGGCCCGATCCAAGCTGTTCTTACTTTGTAGGAAATCCTTTTTGCGGTAAGTTTTCTCAGTGGTAGACCCCGTAGTAGACGGGGTGGTAAGTATATGAAAGAGAGAGCTAGTAGGTTTCGTACCTCAACCTGAGTGGCGTATTGAGTGGAAGGGTTGAGATGTTGGAGGAGGAGATGTTGTACGCCATGATATTAATGCTCAAGGCATCTTCTTCTGAGTTTTTCCATGCGTGTTTAATCTAATCTCTCTTGAACTCGACCCATGGTACTGGCTGTGCGTTTCTGGACTGCGATGCTAATTTCGCCTTACCGTTCACTCGGGGCTTGATGTTGCTTCGCGGCTGGACAACAGCCACTTGATCTCCCTCACGTGATGCTTGGGTGGCTGTCGGGTCTTCCACAGTGTTGTCCGATTGGACTGCAGCGAACTGCTGCTATCGCGGACCAGTTCTCACCTTCTCCACATAGGTTGGCTGCCACGCCGACTTCTCGTGTGCAGCCGCCCTGTTGGTCTTGATGATCTCCCTCGCCTTGTCAATGATTTCAGCGAAGGTTGCATATTGCTCGCGATCACCAAGTGCGAGGCTCAATGCAGCATATGACCTGTTATAGAACTCCCGGCGCAGATGCAGAAATGGTAAGTCCAGATCGGGTGTTGTCGCGATCTTCTGCTATTTCGTGAGCCAGTCACGTGTTGCTGTGTTGCCTTGCGTCATGGCGAAGAGACGGTTGATGCCTTCGTCCACGATGAACCGCTTCTTCCATAGTCGTGTTAACTCTTCCAATGAGATCTTGTCTTTCAGATCTGCGACGTCGACGCCGTGGGTGGATGCCAGGTGGCTCAACCAGGTCTGGCATCCGCCCTTTGAGTTGAGAACCAGGGCGCCGATGTACGCGTGCTTGGCGACGAACAAAATCCGAAGTTGCGTCGTGAAACCTTCCCACCAAAGGACGGGGTCCTGATGCGTGTAGTCATCGAACTTCTCAATTTGAAAAGTTGACATCTTGTAATGTTGTGTGATGTTGCCATTCTTGTTAGGCAGCTGCAGTTGCTGGACCTCGGTCTTCAAGGTATCCAGTTGATTGTTGATGGTGATCGGCTCAGCGAAGGTGCTGATGTCGCCGAGCATTGCGACGACGTGGTCGACGCGTTCCTCCAGTTGGCGGTTAGAAGGTGCACTGCTTGATACACCAGCATCTGGTCCTGGTACAGCTTGCTCCAGGTCCAGTACACTGGAATTGAGTGCCCGTGTAGCATCCTCATGGCTCTGCACTGTCCGGCGGAGGCTCGCCAACTCCTGGTGTTGTTTCTGCAGATCCTCGTACTGTTGCTGCAGTTCCTGGTTCTGTCTCTGTAACTCGGACTGTTAATAGTTGCAAGCGTATAACAACCGTGTCACGAGCTTGGAGAGGAACTCCTTGTGCTGCTCCTCCAGTGTCGCGTCGTCGCCGTTGGACAGTTGAAAGTGCCAGAACTTGAGTCTTTCGATGCTGGCGGCTTCATGCCGCTGCAGCAGATCATGGGCTTCCTTGCGGCGTGCCTGGGTACCTGCGTCTGTTTCGGCCTGTAGCCACTGCTTCTCAGCTGTTGCCGCTGCTTCAGCCTGTAGGCGGGCCGCCTCGGCTGCCACCTGGCGCTGTTCCTCAGCCTCGATCATTGCGAGCCGAGTCTGGAACCGCTGTTTGGAGTCAGCAATAGACTCGCTGGCCAGTTGGCCTGGCATGCCCAAGGCTGCGCCCGTCATGGTGGCGGGGCACTGCTGACGAGGCACTGTGACGTGGCACTGCTGACGTGCCACTGCTGACGTGGCACTGTGGATGACGTGGCACTGCTGACGTGACACTGCTGACGTGGCACTGCTGACGTGACACTGCTGACGTGGCACTGATGACGTGGCACTGTGGCTGACGTGGCACTGCTGATGTGGGACTGTACCAACTCGGAAATTCATGCAAAGGGGTGGTGGGAGGGAAAACGTAGGTTGGCAACCAACCCAACAATGATTTCCTCCGGCCCTAATGTACAGATAAAATAAAGAGAAAACTACGGCGCAGTCAGGGTTTGAGTTTGTAATTGCACTTGAGGCAAAAGGGTCGGTAATGCTGAATGTATATGACCTACGTTTCGGGTCCGGTGGGGTTGCGTGGGGGTGTGTTGTATTCGCGGGATTGCCTGAAGTGCAATTACAAACTGTTTTCGTGACTGCGCCGAAGTTACCCCTAAAATAAAAGAATAAAGGACTACTTCCTTTTTTTTTTTTTTTTGCATATTTATCGATCTATTATGAGTGAGACATGTCAGAAGAGTACTATGAACGAGATCTAGGCTAGGTTCCGCAAAGTTTCGGCTTTCACAAAATGCGATCTTGAATTTTTTTTTGCGAAATGGAGTAAAGATGCGATTTCCAAAAAGAAACGAAATCCAGTTTCTGAGAATATGGCAATCTCCGAATATGCCTAACGAAATGTT